AGCGTGGGTGGGGGGGGCAGGGGCAGGTGCTGGGTGACAGCCTTTGAGAGCAGGTCTATTTCTTCCTGACGCAGCCTGCCAGCACCAGGAAGCCCCAAGGGCCTGGGCAAGGCTTTTGCTCTGCAGGGGATGGGGCTGTGGTACCCAGCCATCTGCTCTGGCTGACTTTGAAGGGGGCATTCTTCCTGGGTGGGGAATGGGTGAAGTGAGGCTCCGGCTCCCCAGACCTGGAGGGATCTGGGGCAGAATGTGGGGAGAGAGAGCGAGCACACTCCAGGCTAGCCCCAGTTAGCCAGAGGGAGAAGGACACCCACGGCCCACTTCTCCTGTTCTCCTTCACGCTGAGCTATTTACAGACACAGGGAACAGATTCTGTTGTCTGATCATCTGATTTTGGCACCTGCTGGAGGCTGGCCCAACAAACAGCTCACCCACCACACAGATACTGGGGCTGCACCCTTGTGCATCATGGCCTGTGACACCATCCAAAACCAGGGCCGGGGGCAAATCTGGAGGCCCTCTTGGGGAGGTGGCAAATTGGGAGATTTGAGTCAGACCGATGTCCTGTTTGCTGGGTCGTGAGGACCGGGGGCCCAGAGTGGGTCTCTGGGGAGGAGCTCTAGCTGGGGGGGGGGGGGGGGGGGCTTCAGGAGTTGGAGGACTTGGGGGTGTGTGCCCTGAGAGAGTCCTTCCTTACATGACCTTCACCCCTGGACTAACTCGCATGCTTCTGGGGCTTCCTCCCAGAGCTGAAGCTTCTCCATTAGGTCACCAGCAACTGGGTTCAGGGCATGTCCCTGAGGGGTAGGCTCCCTCCCTACCCCCGCTGCCTTCCCTGATGGCTGTCATGGGCAAGGGCTCAATAATCACTTGCTGGATTGGATTGAGCTCAGGCTGTCAACACTGCCTTCTCCCCTCTGCCTGCCAAATGGCCTCTTTCAAATTCCTGCAGGAAGCCCTCTAGGATAGCAGTACCCAGGGCTTTTCCTCACGCCCCTCAGGCCAGACGTGGGATGCGAAGCTATTCTCCCCCACCCCCATTTCTCCTCCACTTGCCTACCAAGGGGAGCTGCCTGGGATGTGAATCCCCACTGGCTTGGGGCTCCGCTCCCCCTGAAGGTCTGAGGCCTCTTTCCCTGTGTGTGGGGGGCCCATCTCCAGGACGCCCACCTTGATGATGTCCTCATTGTCAGACTCGCATTCCACCAGGGCAGAGACATCTAGGACAAGTCCAGTCACCTCGATGGCGATGACCTTGACAGGGATGGCCACCGTCCTGCCCGTCAGGATAGCCGTGTTGATGATCTCTGTGTCCTGCAGGGAGGGTGGGGCCCTGATGAGCTGGGGTGCTTCTGGTGGTCATCTGCTCTCCCACGACAGGCCAGCCAAGGCTCAGGCTCCTGGAGCCCCCACTCCTCAGATACGCGTCCTTCCCCTGGGGACACCAGCACGCATGTGCAGAGAGGGGCCTCCGCCCAGTCTCACTTGCCTTCTCAGGTGCTCTGCTCACCTGGCCTCCTGCCACAGCCTTCAGGAGGCCACTGTGCCACCAGGAGACAACCCTTCGCCAGTCCCCCACCATCTTCTCTCAACATCTGACATGCTTCTCAGCGTCACATCCAACACATTTGCTGACCATTCCAGGTGCCCTCAGGCTGGCCCACTGACTCCAGACTTACCTCCCATGGCACCCCCAAGTCCATTGCTCCTTAGAACAAACTCCTCACTTTCCCATCACCGCACCTTTGCCCACACAATCCTCAGCCTCGAGCACCCTCCTCATCTCTGGTTATATAAGCCCTTCCTTCCAGGTTCAACTGCATGGCCGCCCCTCCAGGAAGCCTCTCCTGAGTGCCCTCTCCATGGGTGACTTCTCCCACCTCTGTCCCCGCGAGCCTCTGCTGTCCTACTCCAGCACCAGGCACAGAGCACTGCCTGCCTCCAGTGAGCGCGCGCACACACATGCGCATACCTTTACTCACAGGCATGCACTTGGCCGCAGGCTCACACGGATATGCGTTGATCTATACACACGCTCAGCTGTGCACATGCCTGTCACACACACGCGCCTGTGACAGACGTGTGCATCCACTGGCCCAGTCACCTGCCCCGCTCACCATGGCTAGGGGCAGGATGGCTTGTACATCCCGCTGGATGACCGTCAACTCGGTGACCGCCCGCTCCAGGTCAGGCAGGGGGCTGCGGCCGCGGTAGTCAATGTGCCACATGATCCTCCTCTTGACCGACTGGCTGGTAAAGTTCTCCATCTCAAAGTCCAGCTGCAGGATCTCCAGGGGCCCCTGGCCTTCCCTGCAGGGGGGAGGAAGGAAGCAGAGCCCGGGGGGAAGAGCTGGGAGCAGCTCGGGATGAGGACCCCGATGAGGACCCCCGCCCTCCTTGGCATCCTGCCTCCTGGAGCTTTCTGAGCCTTTTCCAGCTACCTGAGGTGCCCCGACCCGGACCCCAGAGCCCCCACAATCCGAGCCGCAGCCCTTCTGTTGGTCTGGCTTCCTCCATCAAGAACTCCCCCACCCCTCCCAGGTGCTATCCTGTAAAGAGGTGGGCAGAGGCACCACCTCAGCTTACCAGGGGGGCAGGGGTGTGCCCTGCGCCCAGGCCACATCCACAGTGGCTGTTGAGTGCTTTGCCCCAGTCAGCAGCTCCGAGGTCACATGCCACTGACCACTCCGTGACTTGGTGCCCAGAAGGGTCACACCCTTCTTGGCCTTCACCCTGGGACAAAGTGGGAGGGAGAAGAGCGAGAGGGTCAGCCTAGGGCCCGATGGCTGCCCACCTGGCCACCCCCACCCCCCAGGCTGGGGCTGGGAGTAGGGGGAGCAGGTGAGTACATTACCCTGAGTCCTAGACTTCATGCTTGAGATGAACTTGGGGAATCTGGTATCATGTGGCTGAAAATGCTGACCTTCAGTGGAGGCTACAATTGCTTCTACCCCATCTCTCTGCCAAGTTTTACCAAACCTCTACTTGCATACCTTAGTGACAGGGAACTCACTACTGTGCACATCCCATTGCATTCTCAGAAAGCCCTTAAGGATTGGAAACCCCATTCCTATACTTAGTCATGGGTTCTGCTGGGGCAGGAGAGAACAATCCTCCTTCGTCTCAATTGTAACAGTTCTTCAGACAGCCGGAGGGGAGCGGGTGTTCCCCGAGTCTCTCTTTTCTCCAGGCCTAAAATCTCTAGCTCCTCCAATTGTTACTTTTTGCCACAGGTTCAGGTCACCGTCCTCTGGACACTGCACACATAAGGTGTAGCGCCCTGTACTAAATACAACACTTCAGCTATGCTCCGATTCATACTGGCTAAAGCAGAATGGTGATCACCTCCCTAATTCTACATGTTTACTCCTATTAATGTAGCCCAAGATCTGTGATGACTGATTTAACTCATATTCACATTCACGTATCAATCATTGAATCAGGTCTCATCCCTCCCAGGAAGATCTGAACTTTAAGGTGGTACACTCAGGAGAGAGGGTAATACTTAACTCAAAGAAGTCGGAGGCTAACGGCAATGTTGTGGGTCCTATGCATAGTGCCTGGGGTGGGGGGAATATTTTGGTGGGGCCTTTGCTACATTCTCAGAATCATTCAACGTGGTTTAAATTCCATTCTGTTTTGTGAGGATGTGATATGGCTTAAGGTTATTTCTGAATTTGTGGATTGTATCCTGTTCAGGGTACAGAAAAGGCTGGGACTCCTGAAAATTTTTCTCTTAATTCCAAGATTGGGCAAATGTCCTGACACACGGACACACTACTGCTCATTTCTGACTGCCAGCCAGCGGGCTGCTGTCTGATCTCCATTTCTTCTCTTTGCCTTTGGTCTCCTCAGCTGCAAAATGGGTACACCGTTTTAAGTTACACCAGCTAAGGCCTAAGGGCCCTTCCAACCCCATTCTATGATTCTTGATACCTATGCTTGTGAAAACGAACATTTCTCCTTCCCCATGTCTGTGAGCTACGGAGGTAGGGCAGAAATTTTTGTTGTCACCGGGCAGATGAGAACACTGAGGCTCAAATAAGTAAGGTGCCTTCCTGAAGTAGCTCAAGTGAGAAATGGAAGAAGTCGGATTAAGGTGCTGGCTCACCCCTGCAAGCGGCCAGGTATGCATTTGACCTTGGGACGCGGGCGGACCCTCCCCCCACATGCCCCCTACCTGAGTGTGAAATGCTCCACGCTGGGGCTGGAGGGAGAGGAGGAGTTGGGGGCCAGGTAGAGGAGGACGCTGAGCACCTCGCCAGGCTTGAGGGGCCGATCAGGCAGGCGGATCATCAGGTTGCTGTCCAGCCTGTGCTCCTGCAGGGTCCTCCTGGGGGGCGGGCGGAACAGGCTGATGCTCCCGATGCGCAGCAGGGGGTGCTGGGTGGGGCTCTCTGCGCGGGCGCCTGCCCCGGGCCCGGCCCCCCGACGGGCGCCCCCGCAGCCCCCAGACGCGTCCGGGGCGTGGAGGGTGTAGTAGAGCTCAGCCTGCTGACTCTCCCCGGCCGCCTCGGGTTCCAGCCCATCCGGGGACTTGCGGCGGGCGGCGGGCGGCGCGGCGGGGGCTGGGGGCCCGAACCAGGCCAGGGGCAGCTCCGCCCGCACCAGGCAGGTGGCCAGGCCCCCGCTGAGGCGGCAGGAGCTCTTGACTTCCCGCGCGTCCCTGAAGGCGTGCAGGCGGACGCATGGCAGCCGCTCGGTGACGCCGAAGTCGTCCCAGTCGCGGCCGGCCACGTAGAACAGCACCTGGGCCTCGGGCTGCGAGGCCGGCACGCGGGCGCGGACGATGAAGGCCCGCACCTTCCAGTTGACCGTCAGGCGCTCGGGGATGTCCAGGGTGCTGGACGGCTGCAGCAGCTCCCGGGCCACCACCTGGCTGGTGCTGAAGGGCCCCAGGGAGACGTTGAGGACGGGCAGCTCCTTGGTCTGGAACACCACGAAGGGCTCGGAGCGCTGCAGGGAGCCGTTGGCCACCGCAGGCGGCGGGGGCCGCGCGTCCCGCAGGAAGAAGGCCAGACGCGTCCGCGACAGGCGGTAGCTGACCGGCAGCACCGGGCCGGCCTGCGGGCCGGGTGGGCTGGGGCTGGCAGGGTGCGAGCGACCCGAGGCTGGGGACAGACAGGGGAAAGAGCCCAGAGGGGTGAGCAGAGGCTGTGCTGGCACGGCAGGGCACCCCAGCCTCCCACCCCGCAGCGGGCGTCCGTGCCAAGCGCGCCCCCCTGTGCTGCTGTGTTAACCTTCCGCTCACGGTTGCCTGGTTTCTTTTGCTGCAGCGTGCGTGTAAACCGGACACTAGCGCAAAGCCCTGTGAGGCTTTAAAGAGGGTTTATCCCCCCACATCCTCATCTGTAAAATGAGGATGAAATTGCTTTCTGCCTCCAGGTGCGGTTGCTGAAGACTTCCCGAGTAGTGTGTGCGGGTAAAGGGCCGAGAGCGGAGAGGGGGCCCCCAGAAAGCGCTCTTACCATTCCAACCTGCTCCACGCTGGCGCCACCGGCATTAGCTTATTTGATCCTCAGATGGATCCTCTGAGCTACACAGTCTACCATTTCCACGGATTCAATCGTGTTCTGTCAACAACTTCTCTCTTTTGAGAGCTTATTCTCACATGTTACAGGTAAAGGTGCAGAATGCTTAAGCAACTTGCCCGAGCCACATGAGCCAAAGGGGCCAGCAGTAGGCTTCCAACCCAGGGCCACCTGACTCTCAAACCCAAGCCCTTTCCTGCTCCCTCTGCCTCAGACGGTGCAGGGCCCCCAGAGATCCCTTGTCTCCCCCACCCCACGCCCTCTCCCCATGCGCTGTATACACAGGGAATGGGACCCCACTCTCCCAAACCCAACTCAAGCCTTGGGTCTGCCATCTCCGGTCCCCTCCCCACATCCCAGCAGGACCCTGCCAAAAGCAATTCTACCTCTTGACTCTGTGAGGTGTCCTGAGTTGCCCCCTGTCCTCCATCCCCAGAACCCTGCCCCAGTTCTGGCCTTGATCCCACTGCTATGACAACATAACACCTCCTGACTGGGTCTCCCCTCTCCCTCTAACCACCTCCCTGGCATCCCCTCCCCTCCACAGCAGCAGAGAGATTTGTTTCTCCTGGACACAAATGAGACCTTGCTGGCCCCTCACCGCCAGCTCAATTCCCGTTGGACACTGTTCTGGAATAGGAAGGACCAAGCTGTGGGGGTTTGAGGTTTGAGAAGCAGCTCTGGATCTTCTCATCGGCCCTGAGTCACTTTCCTCACCTTTAAAATCAAGTTAATAATAATAGTAATTGATAATAATAATAATAATAATAATACTGGTCTTAAAGGATGTTGTGCTGTCACTTGCTCTGTTTTTGAGAATCAAATAAGAAAGAACTCTATAAATTGTGCATCGCAATGCCAATGTCTGTAAGCATTTTTATAGACTCTTTCCCTTCTGCTTACAAGACAAAATCCAAACTCACTTTGTGCCTGAGTGTGGCATTCAGGGTCCTCTACTGTGGGGTTCCAGGCTCCCCTTTGCCCCAGGATTCCCCCTCCCAAACCCACGCTGCCAGCATGACTGGACCATCTCTGCCTGTAGCACTTGCTGATCCTGCCCCATCTCCCCTCTTTGCTCATGCTGTGCCTTCTGCATCAAATTCTCCCTTTTCCCAACTGCACGCATCCACATCGGAATCCTCCTCCGAGGTCCAGCTCCAATGCCACCTCCTCCAGGAAGCCTTCCAAGGTATGACCTCAAATCCCTGGGACTCTCCTTCTCGGAGGGGACTTTGCATCCTGTCTTGTATGGAAGTTAGTTATCTAGGAGGCCGTGCACTGAGCAAGCCTCTGACAAATCATGCCTGATTTACGCGGAGTGATTTGCAGAGACCTGTGTCCCAAGGAAGAGCCTTCTAAGCAACGCTATAGTGGTTCCTTGCAGTTTATGCCCATTTATTATTTTGCCACCATCAATGAAACCTTGATAGTTCTACAGACCTTCACATCCAATTCCTCATAAAGGCAATGAACTAAAAATTCCCCGCTCTTGAGGCTCTGGTGCCTATGGCCTATTTTTTTTTTTTTTTAATCTGTGGTTTAATTTCCTCATTCAAAAAAAGAGGCATTTGGCTTGGGGCAGGGCATAGGCCCGTGCGGCAGGCAGCCCATGCTTTAATCACCAGACTGCTCCTCCCATTCCCTGGAGAACTCTGCTCCCAGGCCACCTTCCCCACTAGATGCTCTGAACCCTGCAAGGTATGCTGGCTGCAGTGGCGGGGCGGACAGCTAGGTCCAAGACGAGGACAGGAAGATGTCTGGAGAGATGGGAAGAGCCTTCCTGGCTGCAGTCCCTGCCCCACAGTTACCCCTGGAGTCTCTGAGATGCTGTCCTTGCCATCACGGGGAGGCTGGTCCAAGTGACACATGTTGGAGTCCAGGGGAACAGCCCGAGCCAGAGCTCAGAAACCAACCAAACTGCTTTGGAAGCAGCAGGAAGCAGGCAAACAAAGAATCCAGGACTCAGGTGCAAGGTTCTCCCCGTGACACTCATGGGCAAGATACTTCCCTTGGTTCCCATATCTAAAATTGAGATGGTGACATCAGCCCCTTCACGAGGATGTGGAGAGTGGCTAAAAGGCCAAGGGAGAGGAGGAGGGGGGCACTGCTCCGTGTGGTGGGATGTCCAGGGCTTGTGGGCACTGGGCCGAGGCGGGGAGGGGCCACCGTGCTTGTCCCGCTGGGGTTGGGGAAGGGCAGCTGCCATAGCAGTAAGTGCTCAGCATCCGGGGTGGACAGGCTGGGGACACGGAACTCATAACCACTGACCCTGCCTTGCTTACTGTCCCCAGGAGATCCCAAAGGCTGCTAAGTAAGCACTTAGTCCCCTTTGACGACACTCTCATCGTCCCCACCCCACGGTTGGCCATCTGGACCCCTTGGAGGCACAGTGGGGGCAGGAGCCACCAGATGGGCAGAAGACTCAGAGGGGCACAGGGGAGGGGCCTGGAGGCCATGTCCGCATGCACCCCTCTGCCCTCCATAGATTTTTGTGGCATGAGCGGAATTCTCAGAACCCGACGACTGGGACGCTCTGTGGGGTACAAGGGCCTCCTCCACGAGGCATCCGAGAGGAGACCGGATGGCCGCTGAGGGGGATGGTTCTCGGTGGCAGGCAGCAACCTTGCAGATAAAGAGTCTGGGTTTCTGAAAGGGGAAGCGACTTGTGCTAAGAAAACAGCTCGCTTTCAGAAAGGAGAGCCAGAAAAGACAGTATTAGGGTGGTGCAATTTTCGTATTTGTGTCATCATGACACACGACACCCCCTCCAGTCACCACTGTGAGTCATTCTATCCTCTGAGGCCCTGAGGCCTCCTCTGTGGTGGAGGTGAGTGTTTTTGAGGCCCCAGCACTATAACCTCTGCTCTCCTGCCCACTTACTCTGGAGCATAAAGGAAGCTGCTTGATCTCTCTGGACCTCAGTTTCCCCAGGGAGGTGGGAGAGGCCCTGGAGGTGGTCTGGGGTGGGTGGGGGGCTGGAGGGGAGGAAGTTGAGGCCTGTGGAGCTGTCAGCAGACAGGTCAGGTTTTCTGGAAGGCTATCTGGGAAGGTGTGTGTGTGCTAATGTGCGCACTGGCCTGTTATCTCAGCATAAAGCAGGGCCTGGCCTTGGGAGGAAAGAGCTGCTGGCAGGTTCCCTGAATGACAACAGTCAGGGGAGGGGAGGATCTACACAGAACTGAGGTTGGTTGGGCCCAGAGGTGGGGGAGAGGTGCTGAAGGGGTGTGGCTGGGGTGGACATGACAGCCTGGACCCCCCCCCCCCCCCCCCCGCCCCCAACACAGGGGGGCTGATCTCACGGGCTGGCGCACATCCACCCCTCGGGCCCCACATCAGGCACCCCACAGGGTTCTTCAGGCTTGGCTTTGAACCCTGGCCACTCTTTGCCCCTCACGCTCTCACTTGCTCCCCAGAGCATTGGCCTCCAGGCTCCCAACTCCTGCTCTTGTGTTTGGGCCCAGCTCACCCTGCAGACCACCCTTTGCACTGTGTTCCTGTCAGTGGCCTTGACTCTCCCCCGGAGCAGCAGCTAGGTTCCCCTCTGTGTAAACAGCTTTGGGCCTCCGGAGGCATTTGGGTGCAGCCCTGGGAGTCAGAGTAAAAGCAGGGTAGGGGCAGAAAGAGAGGGAGACACAGAATATAAAGCAGGCTCCAGGCTCTGAGCTCAGCACACAGCCCGACATGGGGCTCGAACTCACAAGCTGTGGGATCATGACCTGAGCAGAAGTTGGACGCTCAACCAACTGAGCCGCCTGCTGATAGAGAGGGCTTCTCCACATCTTCTCAGGCACATGATGGGTGTTAGGAGTTGAATTGTGACCCCCACCCCAATTCATACGTGGAAGACCTGACCTCCAGGACCTCAGAATGTGGCCGTGTTTGGAGACAGGGTCTGTAAAGAGGTGATTCGGGTAAGATGAGGTCATCAGGGTAAAACGAGGTCATCAATCCAATACGCCTGGTGTCCCAACAAGTAGGGAGATGAGGACACAGACACACAGAGTGAAGAGCACGTGAACACACAGGGAGAAGACTGCTCTTTGCAAGCCAAGGAGAGAGGCTGCGGGAGAAACCCACCCTGCTGCCACTCTGACCTTGCACTTCTGGCCTCCAGAACCGAGAAGCCAAAATTTGTTGTTTTAGCCATGCAGTCCGTGGTGCTTTGTTAGGGCCACCCAAGCAGATGACCACATGGGGATTGGCTGTTTCTGCCCCCCAACAGCCTCAGTTTCCCCAGTCAGGAGTGGAGACACCATCCAGGGGAAGAAGCTGGGAGGGGATCATGCTGGTTTTGTGCTCAGGGATAATGATGGCGGCTGAGGCAGTCTCAGCCTCTCCCTGAGACTAGACCCAGAGTGTGACCCTTCCCAACTCAGCTGAGCCAGCTCCTTCTTCCCACAGCCCCAGAAGGCACATACAGCTCTTTACAGCTTGGTAACGAAGAATGGGGTGTCTGTGGATGCAACAGGCCTGAACTCCCATCCTCCTCGAATCTTCTTCCCCCACCCAGCTTCCCTGGGCACTGAATCTGCCCAGTCCCTTGGGGAGCACCGACCCGGGGCCACTTTGGGGTTATGCTC